TTTACAAAAGAAAATATGAGCTCCATTTCTTTGACAGCTGTCTTGGACAATCTGTCATCTTATTCAGCCATACATATACGTGTAGGAGTAAGCTGTCTTCCACAGAGACTTTTATAATATGCACACTCCTATAACGAGCAACTTGCACAGTCTTTTATATTCATCTAAAACAAGGCGAGAGAACAGCCTAGTGTTTAAGAGGATGGGCTGTGGAAACACACTGCCTGGGTTCTTATCTAAGCTCTAACACTTACTGTTCATGTGACCTTAAACAAGTGATATAACTTCTGTATCTTTTGGTTTCCTAATGTATAGAAGAGGAATGGTAGTACCTACCTCAGAGGACAGTTGTGAGAATTAAATTAGTGCACATAAACTACTTAGTGCCTAACACACAGAAGATACTCAATAAATGTCAGTCGTTATCATTTTAGGTGAGATAATAATTTACCTGTAGAATGATCTATTAAAATTTATAATATATTTTAAAGAACATTCAAAATTGTTTCAGAAAAGTGAGAAGCAGAACAGCAATATTTTTAGGCTTATGCTTCAGCCTCTAGTTATACTCCAAAACACTAAAACAGTACTTAGGGGTAACGTGTTCCTGAAGGTTTACAGGTTTGAGTTCTCATTGCACCAAACATACATGTATATACAAGTACAGGTAACTTCAGCAGCTTGGTTGTTATTGGCAGAGAATACACTCTCAATAATTATTGTGAGAATCAATGAACAAGCTGCTCTACTTGTTATACTAGACAGTTTTGGTACTAGAGATCTTCAAGAGTAGAATTTTCTTTGCTGAAATGTACACAGGTTCGGATATCTCTGACCCTCTTCAGTGTCCTCCAACGACAGCCACTATAACACACAATGCTCTCCAGTGGGGATGCTTTGCTGTTCTTTATATGACCTGACATAATTAATTTCAAAATGAAAGGAAACATAATACTGTACAGTACCTACACAACTTAAATGACTGATAAACTGATGATCTGAGCTTCATGGAGGTCCAAACATAAAGCATTATATTTTTCTCAATTCCCTGACCTCAGAGAAAACCCTTAAAAATACCTGGAACAAATCCCAGAATTTTCAGGTCACTTTCACCTATTAAAAGTTACCCAGTTTAAAATGCCAATCATATACATGAATTAGGACCTTCCCCAGGAAATCTCCTGACTCCAGGGTCCTGGAAAATGCGGAGGGGGTCTTTACGACGCCAAAGGTGGGAGAAGAGGCCAATCCAAGTATCTCTGCCTGCTGCCAATTTCCTTCCATTTTTTTTGTTTGCCTGTTTAGGTGGGTGGGTACAGGGAATAGCAGTCAATATATGCCCAAAATATTTCTTGCCCCTCACCAAGGAGAAGACATTTCTTGCAAGCAAGGACCCTCATGTTTGGAAAACTGCTCATTCACTCCTCTTACTTCAGTCCACTGGAAAGGAGTTTCGGTTAAGGTGAGTCATTGGTTTTGAGCTGGTTCCTGGCCCTTCCTTCATAGGCCTAAAGCCTCTCATTTAGAGAATAGAAGACAGAATTGGGGAGGTACAACCAACTGCCCACGGTTACGTTTTTCTTTATTTTCTTCGTTCCTGCTAACTCTACATAAGACTCAATGGCATTCTCAGGTAATGTCATAGGCAGGGCGAAATTCAAAATATTTAACAGGCAGGAGTACGACCTAATCAGAAGGGAAGTATCCTCCAAGTGCTGAAGGGGTACTCAGGCGGTTGGGTTACAGGTGTCTTCTTGACAGCATAAAGTATCTTGGTGTTTCAGTATAAAGACAGTAAACCAGCTGAGAGTCCCTCCTGCTTGCAGGAGCACGGCAGAGGGTCCTGAGCAAAGGCAGCTCTACCATGTTCTCCTGATGTGAGAGAATGTCCCAGGCCTACCTTATGCAACCCCTCTGTTACTGTCCAATAGTCTCCTGCTTGATCACATGGATCTATTTTCTATTTATCTACTTGACCCTTAGGAAACTCATAAATCTTTATAATGCCCAACTAAGGCATGTAGCAGGCCATTCTGAGTCTCTCCGTGCTGCTAACTTCCTTCAGTTTTCTTTTTCCTGGTCAGACAGGTGAAGGATCCAGCAATAAATTGATGTCTAAAATATTTCTTGCTCCTCGCCAAGGAAGATATCTCTTGCATGTACCTCCCTCAATCTTTAACCATGGTTCTCTTGGAGCTGCCTTCACGTCCCTTGACATGGGACAGAGATAAAGAATGAGAAGTACTTCTTTCCTTTCCTCTCTGGGACACAGAGAAAAGGAAAATATTCCAGACGTGTGGATAGCCTATAATAACCCTTTACCAAAGGATGACTTGAAGGATGGAGTGAGGATAGGAGGAGGAACCCCTGGAGTGGTAGATAGGATAATAGTTGGCTTAGGCTCTTGCTTTCGAAACCCCGAGATGGGTGTGACCCAAACTGGAAGTAGTTTCTTGGTGGCTTTCCTTTTAGAATGTGTGAATTTAAGATTGTGTCTTCTAATTGCAGACACCATCACCAATTCTAGGCAATAGAAAAAATCATCAATATCCTCTTACATTTATCTTAAAATACAGCAGAAATAATTAAATGTTATATTTTATGAATGAAAAATGAATATCAAATACACATGGAAAAAAAATTAAGGAAGCATAAATCTACTGGTGATTATTTGAAGATGCTAGTTAATCTACTGTGCGTATATTTATGTTTAATTAGAAACTGGAAGGTTTTAGAATGTTATTCTAAAATATACCGTATTGGTATCAAAACATTACACTGATTCAGTGCAAATAACAATACAAGAAAATTTTCTTGTTAAATAATTTTTTTAGGGACTCTTTTTTATTAAAAGCATATATTTTTACTCAAATGTCATAAGAAACTCGGTATAAGCTGATTTGCTGTAATTGGAATAGGCTTATTTCAGTCATTTTACCCCGTTAAATTATGATACCAACATTCAAACATCTGTTAAAGCATAGCATCTGTTTCATATTTGGGACGCATCCCTACAAATTAGAAGAGTGTTCCTTTTAACGAGCTCTGATTTAATAAGTGATCCTTTTTGTTATGACTGCTATGACAAGGAAAGAGAGAAGATGTACTCACTTCTTTACCACCCCCCATGCGGCAAAGTACCCCGAAGGTTCATGCATTTCTAACAACAACAAAAATGGTTTAAAGATAAATGTCATATATTGAAAGTTGGCTTTAAATTTTAGTGTTTAATATTTAAGAAATCATACATATGTATGCCCACATAGATACACATGCAATTATATAACCAGCACAAGCAGAGGGCCATCCATCCATATTATTCAAGAAAAATAATCACTTCATTCAAATAAACTCTCTTGACAATCTATGCCATCTTAGAGTTACTAGACTAACACATGACCTCCCCGTCTCGCTGAGTTTGTTTACAACTCTAACTTCAAAGACACTCTCTCCCATCAGATCTTCACGGTTTCAGTTGTATCTGAAGCAGTACTTTGCACTGACTCATGCAGTTCTTATTAGAACTATTCCTTGCTGTCTTCATTAGTTTTACTTAAGAGTTTTCCAGTCCCTTGTAGCCCTCTATTTTGGACTGAATTTGTCTTACCCAAGAGGCGTGTTATTGTATTGTCAGACATAAATGGGTAAAGTTTGTTCCCTTGTTTATTAATTTTACTTTTTAAGGCCTTTGTATTTTTAAATTTCTAATTTGGACCTGGAAATCTTTGAAAGTCTAATTTACAGATATCAAATATTTTAAATGCATAAGTTTTTATAATACAAATTACCATAAAATTAAGAAATTTCGCTGGGCATAGTGGCGCATGCTTGTAATCCCAACACTTTGGGAGGCTGAGGCAGGTGAATCACGAGGTCAAGAGTTCCAGATCAGCCTGGTCAACATGGTGAAATCCCATCTCTACTAAAAATACAAAAATTAGCTGGGCACGGTGGCAGACGCCTGTAATCCCAGCTACTTGGGAGGCTGAGGCAGGAGAATTGCTTGAACCTGGGAAGCAAAGGCTGCAGTGAGCCGAGACTGCAGCACTGCACTCCAGCCTGGGTGACAGAGCTAGACTCCGTCTCAAAAAAAAAAAAATTAGAAATTTTAGAACATGATTGGTCATCCCACTAAGTTAGATAAAACTACAAAAAAATTATAAAAGAAACTTATCGCCTACAAGAACTCAAAGAAACCTCACTGAAAGGAAACCAGAAAAATGAGAGGAAAAAAAAAAGTTAGTAAGACATTTTCGGTCATCCACTTTCTATCTCCTGATTTACCTCACCAACAGAGAAAACTGTAACTAGAATGTCCAGCTGTTGAAAACATTTCTTCTGCCTGTTCCCTTGAGGTAGGGTAGTCACAGCTTGGCAGAGAAAGCCGTTGCCTTGCCCACCCTAGCAACATGTGCTTCCAGTGTCTTTTTCCGCAGTCCATCCCCGACCAATAAGGCCTCTGTTCCTCACCAGCTTTATGAAAGTACGTTTTCTGCTTTGCCAACGGAACACTAGCATTTTACACACATGTCACATCAAATGTACAACTGGTTCATCTTATAAAATCAGATTTTAGAACATGTCAACATGAATTCTTCACCAGGAAAACAAAAACTGAAACATCAACCATCTGATTTAGAAGTAGTGCATTCTGGAGATTTATAGATAGTTTATGGGAATGAGAAAAGGGGAAAATAATCACAGCGATTCTTCTGTCTTCAGGTTGGACTTACTTAGCCAATCTAAGTGACCTTATTTTAAAATACTACCTGTGAAAAAATTTTTTGCAACCTCTCTGGATAACCTTTTCCAATGCTTAATGACTCTTAGTAGCAACATTCAGATTTCCCAAATTAAAGGTGAACCCTCTCCTTGTTGAAAATCAGATGTAACACATTTTACGGTCACAGGAGAGATGGTGCAGTTTAGGAAACACTGTTAGAATATTTTGTGATTTCCACCTCTGCAGATCTTATCTCAATATATTCTTAGGAACTTGCCTCTGCCAGTTGAAAGAGTGCAGACTTTCCACAGCGTTTTACAGGCTCAGCACCACCCAACTGTGAAGTGTTTGAAGAAATCTGTATTAAAGACAATTCACACAGAGAGTATTAGTTGTGATATCAGAATCTTTGCTTCTCATTCATACACGTTCAGAAATTTTTCTTAGTTTACAAGAGTATCACTGGTCCCATGTACCAAATAACAAAACATGTCACACTTGGGATGATCATTTTGAGAACGATTTTTAGTAAAAGACCTCAAAAATATTAACAAAAGCAGGTATGGCTGTTCAACAATAAGAATATTAAATTGTATATTCTAGGCTTTAGATTTAACTCTATAACCTTAAAGTGAGATATGCATTTCAATTTCTATAACAACTGGTCAAATATAAAAGAGATTTAAGAGTTATTTTGCATTTACCAAACAATTATTTAATTTTTTTGAGGAATATATTTGGGATCTCTGTGGAAAGACAGCATCAAGTCAGTCAACACATTTTTTTTTTAGAATCCAATATATATGTGCAAGGCCATAAGACAGCAGCTTAGGAGGCTAAGAGGTTTATATAAAACACTGACCCGGGGCTTTGAGAGTGTGCTCTAATGTACATGCAAAGGCTGATAATCAAGACCGCAAGCCTGAGCTATACAGGTACAACAGTAAATAGCACAGGTACAACGTTAAACCAGGTACAACGTTAACACTGACTGAGAACTGTTCTGCAAATCTGGCTAAATCGTGGCTGGCATTGAAGAAAATAAACAGCACTGCAGTTTCTCTTATTTTTGTTTAAATAAAACTTCATTTTCACTGTCTAGTCTCCGTAAGAGCTGAGAAGGACATGTGTTCTTAAAGACATCTGCAAAGCATCTTTACCTGGAGAAGTTCTGTCACTGTTAGATAGTTTGGTTTAAGCTTTTTACATTCGTTGTGATTCTGAATTCTTTCTCAGTTTAAAACAGAGCTATTTCCCAATTCAATTTAGGAGGTAATCCTGCTCATGACTGTATCCTTAAAGGTGACCATAGATCCCACAGGTTGTTAGCTCCAGGAGAGACTGGGTGCTTCGTGCTAGAGGAACTTTTCCCTAGAACACTTGCTGAATAAGAGGCCTTGGCAGAAGCATGTATTTAATAATGGCCTACCTAGGCCATCAAAAAGGGCCTAGCTTAAGGAAGTTACAAGGACTCTTTCCTCCTAGGTGCTATCAGTCTCAACAGAGTGCTTTTCTATTTATCTCTATCATTTACTTGTTTTTAGAAGATAAATTTATGGAGCTCAGTCTTACTGAAGTTTGGGATATTTTCCTCTTGCCGAATTTTTACTGATAGATGCTACTTCTACCTTTTCTAGACAAGTTGAATTCAATTACTCACCTTATCGGGGGACTAAGAGAAACAAACACATGAACACCACTGATTCTCAGTGCCGCAGGGAATGAAGCACTGGACGTAAATGCCAGTGCCTTGAATCAACGTTGTGTAATAGAAAGAACATGGCCTTTGTGCCAGACAGGCATGCATGCATTACTTGCTGCTGTGTGGACTTAAGCAAATAAGGTTTTGAGTCTCATTTACCTCACCTTCAAAATACAAATAGTAATATCTACCTGGAATTGTGCTGTGAAGATTAGGTTTGATGCTAGTGTAGGGCAGTGCTGAGGAGATGTTATGCTCTCAATAAAGGTCCCAATTATTACTAATAATGCTTTATCTTTAACACCTTTTTAGTATAATTTCGTACAATTCCAAAAATTACTTACACACTGAAATTGAACAGAACTAAAAATGGCCATGTTTGCGGATATTTATTAAATTTAGTAATTTGGAGAGCATGAAATTTGTTGCATAATCCCATGACATGCTCAAGAATCGCTGAAGACCCAGAAGGAAGGTAACACTGCACTTCATACCCCATGCCGTTTTTCTGGTTTTTCCACTGGCTCCCTCTGCGGCTGCATTTGTCACTGCAGGTTTTTGTTTTCTATGTGTGTCACTCCCACATATCCTGTGCCTGATGCAGTGCATAGCACACTGAGAGGCTCATGAATGACTGACTGCATGGATGCATTACCTGCCCTTAGAGTTAAAGTACCACTGTCAGAGAGGAGGCTTGAGATTAGCTCCCTTATGTTTAGTAAGAACAGTTTTCCTCATCGCCTCCAGGAGGATTTTTACTTGTTTATAGGTACAGGGCAGCATTTCAAATGCTCAAGGTTGCCAGAAGCCTAATTCCCAAAAAAGCATATGTGGGGGGAGGTTCGACATATTTTCATAGCCCAACATTTCCAGAATCTCCTAACAATAACATTTTTATGACATTACTTAATGTGAGATATAATTTCTAAAAGTTAAATAAAAAACTTCTTAATTTGAGGGAAGGAAGGGTAGAAAACTGGAGACATGCTAATTTCTACGGCGGGGGTCCTTATCTCAATTTCTTTGCGGCATTTGACAGTGCTCGTCTTTCTTTAGAAAAATTCTTTCCTGCCTTCCATTACTGCAGGGTCCCTGCTTTCCTCTTATGCCTCAGGCCACTCCTCGTGGTTCTTCGCTGGCTTTTCTTTCTATAGTGATCCCTTCAATGTTTTCCTCAGTGTTTTGTCTTAGTGCCCTCTCTCAGTAATCTCATCTATGCTGATGCCTTCCATTTCAAGCGTAGCTGGTACAATAATGACTTGTTATATCACTGTTCATTCCTGCCTATGCTCTTCTACCTATGAGACAAATACATCCTTTCAGACAGGAACAATATAGTTAACACCTGTTTTCATGACTGGTCAGCTATGGAGGGAAATGTGTGTTTGCTATGTTGGTAGGTAGAGGGCACTAGTGGGCCATAGTGCATAGCATTTTCATGGGTGTGCTTTTTATTTTTCGCAAATTGGATGGGGCTTGCCAGTAAGTTAATTCCACTGCAGTCTCTCTTCTGACTATTATGTAATGTCGGATACACAGTATTCACCCTAAAGGCTAGCAACAGGGTGGGTGTAACAGTACATGAGGTACAGCTAAAGTGCTAAGAAAAATGATCACCCTGGATGTTAAATTGCTCATTTTATGGCTGCCTGAGGTGGGACAGCAAACAGGTGGTAAAGACCAGAATCAAATTAGGTAATGATGGAAGTCTTTTGCAATTATAAAGGTATTACAAATATTGTAGCTTGGGAGCAAAGGACTGATAATTGTTGAATGAATAAATGAGTCAAAGAAGAAGTAATTTCTTCCTTACCTTACCCTCCTTATCTAAAAAGAAAAATTAGCGTTTCCAATAAAACACGTAATACATCTACCTGATTAGTTACAGTGTAAGTATATGGTGTTTTTAATAGAAAGTAATATTGTGTAATACACTGAGCATTCCCTCATGAAAATAAATGCATTAAATTTGCATCTATTGCTTATATCCAATTGTGACAAAATTTTAATTTTGGTGAAATTATAGTTATGTAGGCAAAGTAAATATCTTCTAAGGAAAGTTTTAATGTCCAAATCTATCTAAATCATCCAGATTAGCTGTGTCTTCAAGGTAAATACAATTTTTCAATGCAAAGATATACTCTATGAGAGAATATGGGAATTGGTCATGGCTCTTAGACCTGTTAAATAATTAAAGACAACAGTTCCTTTCCGACATATTTGGTCTTTAGCCTTTGGTAAACCAGGTCTAGAAAGTGACTGATGTGTCACTCTACCTGTAAACAACAGAGGATGGAGACAGGAAAGTCATTCTGACCAACCTAATGGATAGGAACCTGGACACAGAGTAGACGGCACTTTGGATGGGCCACACTGAATCCGGAGGAAACATGAGTGTCACCTTGGAATGGGAGACAGGCTGCAACTGGGGGTGGGGTGTGAGGAACAGTTCCTGCACTCTACGTTTCTTTCTAAATCCTCATTTTTCTCCTCTTAAATGTAAACATTTATGAGGCACCTGCAAACAAAGTGTGCTTTATTCAGTTTCATGGTTCTATTTAGATTCACTTCCATGGGCTTTTCAATGACTGGATATGGTTAAAAATGAAACATATCTTTCTCAGCTTGCATGGAAGAGATCCAGGACTCAATGAAAAAAAAAAAAAACCCAAACATTTTTGACGTAAAGAAATTACTAGGGTTTACTGTTAAAACTATGTTTCTCAGATAAATATTTTACATGATAAATAACTCATTTCCAAGAGAAAAATCTAGTTAACTTCTTCCCAGTGTTATAAGAGGCTGTAAATAAATAGTTTCTGAGAATTTTGTATGGCTGATCTCAAAATGATATTACAAAGCTAAATACTTTTAAAGAGCAAATTGTTTCCCAGATTATACAAACACCCACTTCTCTGTAAGTGTACATAATGGAACCAGGAATCCTTCTGAAAAGAGACAGGGGTATAAAGTGCTCCACTGGGTAATTTTCTATTTTACACCAATCCCTTCCTCTCTTGACCCTTCCACCCTGAGGTCCCAGAGATATTAACATGTACCTTAATGATAATGATTTAATAATTTGGGTTTTTTAAAAAAATACATAACTATAGAGCAGCGGTCTCAAACTGTGGTTGCAAACTGTGGAATGCAAATTCTCAGGTCCAGCACCAGACCTAATCAGTCAGAAACTTTGGTGGCGGGGCCCAGCAATCTGAGTGTAGACAGCATTCCAAGTGACTCTGATGTATTGTAAAATGTGAGAACCTTTGCTATTGACTAATTAAAACAAGAATTTCAAGAGTCTTTGGGTTTTCTCAAAGGTAAAGGTGTTTTATGAAATAATTCTAATAGCTTTAGGAATATGACAGTGAGTAATTATAGTCTATTCTATTTATATTGCAATACGTAAGGTCATAACAGATTTTAGTAGATCTTTTTATTAGTTCATCTAGTTGGCTCTTATTTAGCCTTGAATAAAACCAGCCCAATATTGGTCTAACAATATAGTCAGATTACAAGATGTTAAAGATGGAAGTTAGGGTTCTGCTGGGTCAGAGGAGGAAAGTGAGGAGAGAGGTTATGTATCCTTTGAGAACCATGACCTACTCTTGGATAAACACATATAACATTTAAACAGTTAAACAGTTTAAATGTTAAACAGCCAAGGATACAATAATTTAATTTGCTGAGGAACTACGGCTATTACCAATGGTTACAAAATATAAGGAGGAAAAGTTATATACTTGTGGGGACTACATCTCATTCTAGGGCAAAACAGAAATTATATATTTTTACACTATCCATTATGTTTCGGTCTATACTTCATGGCTAAAAACCCCAAGAGTCCTCAGGAAATAAGTGTGTTGAGCAGAGGGGGAACCTCTAGAAATGCCACCCTGCATGACTCTCTCCCTTCAAATAAGAAGTCCTTTTCTTCTCTAGAAAAAACTCAGTATAATTAAGAGGCAAGTACCAAATCTCATGCGTTCAAGAATGAATGTACTGAGCAGCAAGGACAAATGAGTTTATGAAAGGCATGGGATCTCATCCTGCAGAAACACAGGATGGTGGCTGTTACACCACCAAACTGGTCGGTTTGAGCTGTCTGCAGGGCTTCAGGAGCTCCGAATGAATCTGATGATGGTGTTCATAAAATAGTCATCATGGCCAGGTGCGATGGCTCATATCTGCAATCCAGGCACTTTGGGAATCCGAGGCAGGTGGATCATCTGAGGTCAGGAGTTCGTGACCAGCCTGGCCAACATGGTGAAAGCTGTCTCTACTACAAATACAAAAATTATCCCGGTGTGCTGGTGGAAACCTGTCATCCCAGATAATCGGGAGGCTGAGGCAGGAGACTCACTTGAACCCGGGAGGCGGAGTTTGCAGTGAGCCGAGATTGTGCCACTGCACTCCAGTCTGGGTGACAAGAGCAAAACTGTTTCAAAACAAAAACATACGCTGAGCAGTGATAACTGTTAGAACCAGCATCAGCTGAGATACTCCATACTGGTATTTTAAATTAAGCTGAATACTCTTGGTAGTCAATGGATATGTAAACATCAGGTGTGTCAAAGATGAGCCAATACCATTCTAATATTCATGCTATGGAGTACAGAATTTAATCAACAGACTACGTGGCAAATCATTTCTGTTTTGAAAAAATGCTTCTGAAAAGTTGCTTAGAACTGGCTCAGATATCGACATTAAAAATAAATTGTCAATATGCCAAAATTTCTTTTTAACACTCAAGGATTATTAGCATCAAACAAATGGGCATCAGCAACTGGAGGAAAGCAAATAAGTATTATTAACAAAACTATTTCCCCTAGACAGTGAAAGTCACAGCTTGGTTGTTGCAATGGGAAACTGTAACAAAATCTTAATTTATTCAGATTAATTAAGAAAAATCTTCTTTATGAAATAACGTTATATATTTTCGTTACCAGTTTTATACATCAGCCCTCAGCAGCTAAGCAAATACTACGGCGGGGAAGCCTAATACAGAAGCAGGCCAACCGATGGTATAAAGTCACAGTAGTTGACACAAGTTGTCCCAAGAGGAAATGACACTTTTTTTAATGTAAGAGCCCAAAGTAATATTTTCTCCTTTTCAAAGTAAGATGCTAGGTTTTCTTCTGCCAAAAGGATATCATTTTACATTTCATTTATGGATTACTCTTTATTCAAATGAATCAAAGTGATCCAATACATCAATATTAAACAGCTCAGTCCTGCTTGTCATTTTCTCTCAACCCTATAAAAAATTGCTTGGTTTATGATATGCATTTTTCTGTTGGGATTAAAAGAGAAAAAAAGAAAAGACCTAAAGCAGATAGCATCTTATTTTCACAAACTATATACATTTTATTATTTGTCGTATAGTGCTCATTAGAAATGAGCATATGGTTGAGGGCAGGGCTTTCGTGGCAAAATTAAGAATATCAGATTTGTCTCTGCAGCATACCAACTAATAAAATAATTACTCTCTGGTATGTGCTCTGTTTGGCTGACAAACCAAAGAAATCTGAGATCTTACAAGAGCTGACCTGATCTAAGCCTGGGATTAAACACTAATAAAAATACTGGCTGAAGCTCCATCACATTGAAAGCTAATTTAACCTGATTTAACAGGTCGTATTCGCCACTACATTCACTGTGAAAGAGTTATTCATGAATTATAGCATCTAATGTCACTATTGGAAAAATTAAATAAATCGAAACCCTCTGGCCTTCGTGTTGACAGCAGTTTTTCCAAGCTTTTAAAATAAATTTTAAAAAAGGTAAAATGAAATAAACACATTACTGGTAAGTGCCTCTTCTGAATGAACTCTTTAATGAATGCTTATAGAACGGGTGTAAGATCTGGAGCTGATTTGACTATGATTACCCCAGAGGTAGCAGAAAAAGCAATACATACTCTGTTACGTGTATTATGTTAATAATGACAGCAGGCATGCCTAAAGTTCACTATACATTACTAAAACTGCATTCCAGTATTCCTGAGCTCAACAAGTTTTCTTAGCCAATAAGCATTTTAAAAAGGCCATACCTCTGCAAACTGAAACAAGGCGGATGTTTGACACTGCTTTGTAGGAGCATCAGGGTGGGACGTACTTGAAGATATCTGAAAGGAAACAAGCAGTTTTTAATGCACAATGACATTTTTCCATATCAGATCGTAAGATTCTGCCATATATTTTCAACTGTAGACACTGATAAAGATTTAAAAATGAGTCATTACTCTCAATCCCTTTAGAAGAGCAGTAGAAATGATATGGGAAGACAAAGGCCATGTTTCTAAAAACAGATGATTATAAAGAACAAAGACTGAGTACGGCTCATTTGCCATGCCTTTTGTAAGGGTACCAGGTATATATCAAACAGCAGTTAAGGAGACCTGTTGAAATAAATTTCCTTATTAAAAAAAAAAATATTAAAAGCTGAAGGCTGCAAGTAAAACCACTCACTCACTCTCTTCCAACACCACTCCTTCCAAGCAAGCTGTTCTCTAGTTAGAGGCAGCTGTGAAGCAGTGTTGGCGAAGCATATGGATGTGGGTCAGGGTATCTGGGATTGAATCTGCTCTGCTACTTACCCACAACATGACCTTGGGCAGCTCAGCTAAACTTTCTGAGACTTATTTTTCCCAACTGTAAATTGATGATGATGACAATAATCCGAATATTAGAGGATTGTGGTGAAAAAATGAAATTACCCATTAAAATATGGCATGGCACCAGAACTCAGTAAATTGTTTAGTAAATATGAAAAGCATTTTCTTCTTTTTTAGCACGGGCATCCTCCCACCCAACACAAACACACACACGTTAGTGTTTGACAATGAATAGAAGAGTCTGCCACCCTACAATTGATTCAACTAAGGGACCTTCTGTTTCCAGTTGGTAGTTATGGTAGCTTCTTTTAACTTTGCTCAGAGGAACATGTGGAAATACTTTTCAAGGACGCTTTAAGAGCAAGGTCAGTTAGTAATTTTGGTTCCAAAGTGAAAAAACCATTTATCCAGCTACAAAACAGGGTAACATTGGGTCACAGAAGAAGAAAGCCTGGGCGTTTTAACTTCAGCCCATTCCCAATCCCACAAGTCTTTTCCTTCAAGTAACTGCATTCAACAACAACTCCATCAAAGGGTACTTCCTAAGCAATAAATCCACCTTAATCATAACGCTTTAACCACAAAAACTGCTTTTTCATTTTAGTTAAACTGGTTAGAAAAACAATGGGGCTATGTGGCCATACAGTATGAAAGTGACGTTTAGGAATGAGAAAGAATCAGGAAGCTGGGCAGTGTGGCTCACATCTGTAATCCCAGTGCCTTGGGAGACTGAGGTGGGAAGATCGCTTGAGCCCGGAAGTCCAAGACCAGCCTGAGCAACATAGCAAGACCTCGTCTCAAAATTAAAAAAAAAAAAAAAAAAATTAGCAGAGAGACTGACTGAGTAGTGAACTGTAATCACTGCTGAAGCTATCAGGAAAACTTCATTCTTCTGGGTCTTTCTAATCAGGTAAGTATTTTTAGAATAAACATCAGTAGAAGAAAAAATATCAACCAAATCCAATTTAACAAACTAGGTAGAAATAAACCCACCTTATCCATTATAAGATCTAGCCAAGTGTTCTGAAGACATTCAAGGGCAAAATTTTAGAACTTTTCTTGGTCAAACCATGAATCTTGTCATTTCAAGTGACTACCATGTGCAAGTATGACAGAATGCAAAAATGAACCCAGAGAAATCTTTCTTAAGTCTTAGGAATTATAAACTCAGTACATCTTATTGCAGACATGACTTTTCATCCCTACCAAACCTCTGTAAAATTAAGAAAAAACAAACAATTTATATAAAGAGAAATACATAAATATTATAGGTTATACTAAATATAATATATTCCTTTAAGAATTAAATCAGGCAATGACAAAATAGAGCTAGTGTTACAATCCATCCAATTTTGTGAAAAGTATCTCAGAAGTTCTAAAAACAAGTTGGGGGGAGATGTTATTATAAATTAATATAAGACAATGATTTCAACTAATAACATAAATAGGAGCTCCTGGAGACAGATTAGAGCCCTTTTATATAAAAGCAATAGGATCAGGGATCCCTCTGCATCTTAGATATGCTGTAGGAGTCACAAAAATGTACATGTGCTAACATATCCAAAATTTCCTGTGAAATTTTAGAGGTTTCATTAGATTGTTAAAGGTTCAAGGATCGTCTCTTAAGCCTTTCCGTTTTCAAAGTAGGGACCAATCTTATTTAACATGCTTATAACTACTCTTGGAAAAAAGAGTGCAGGCCGAGTGTTGTGGCTCATGCCCTGTAATCCAGTACTCTGAAAGGCTGAGGTGGGAAGATGGCCTGAGATCAGTAATTCAAGAACAGCCTGGGCAACACAGTGAGACCCCAGGCTAAAAAAAAAAAAAAAAAAATTAGTTGGGCATGGTGGCATGCATCAGTCCCAGCTACTCAGGTAGCCGAGATGAAAGGATCCCTTGCGCCCAGAAGTTCCAGGTTACAATGAGCTATGATCATGCCACTGCACTATAAGCCTGGATGACATAGCGAGACTCTATCTCTAAAAAAAATAAAAAATGTTCCCCTCATACAAAACAGTAAAACAGTTGGGCCAACACCAGGAAGGATGACAGTGGTGAAAAATGTCTAGTCAGTGAGAACTCAAATGATCAAGAGAGACCAGGTGGCTTAAAGTTTAAGAAAAAAATGTATCAGCGAGAGCTCATATTGAGTTCTGGAGTAAATTAAGGTATTCTGAGTAGTCTTAAACTTTAGACTTGATATCAAGGATAATGTGCTTTTCTACACCATCTCTTTGAACCATGTCAAGAGACCTATTGAGCTGAACAAGTCTGACAAATGGATGACTCTGAAAACTGCCAACCTCAGGCTCAAGTTTCAATTAAGATGAAAGTATACTTAAAAAAGAAAAGAAAAAGAAATGCATAGATTAGTTGCATAGCCAATAATCATGGACCGATTCTGTCTTCTATTTTATCAAATGAACATACCAATAAATGACTGTTATAAGAGTAATTCAACATACTCTAAACCTTACTATCCACGAGTAAAAATTAGTAATGAGGTTAATAACATTTAGTATGACTTTAAAGATAAGCTTCTCTAAATGCATAAGAGTCGTTATTTCTTAATTAAGAGTCCCAAAATATCTTTTCCAAAATTTGACTCTATTTTCCCTCTTACGTTTGAGCTGAGCAGAGTTCTTCATTGCTTTCAGTTCCTGTTATCAGCCCCAGTTTAAGCCCACTTTACACTTTTCTCATTAGTTAAGTAATATATTACCTCGGCAAACTGAAACAATGGTGACTTCTGAGGCAATTCAGGAGACTCTGAAACATCAGGCCTGCATGTGCCGGAGGATACCTGAAACAAAGATGCCACATTTTCTCTTGTACCATTTCCTGTGTTAGGTAAACATTTAAGGCTCTGTCTTCACTATCAACAACCGTTAGAAAAACATCACCTTTCAATCAAGTCTTTTTCTCAAGATACGTTTCTTCTTTTATCTCAATGCTAATATTGACCCACTTTTGCAGTTAGGTGACAATTACTTTGGTAGTCAACTGTTAGTCAAAAGTCACAGGAGGCTTGGAATGTTAGAGAGGGAAGAATTTCATTATTCCTCTGATCTAACCCCCTCTCTTTTCAAACATGAAGAAATTTTGACACTTCTCCCAACGCTAAAAAATCCCCTGATCACCATTGTACATCTTTTTCCAGGGGCTTTATTTAATGTGTTATCTCCAACACTGCCTGGGCACAATGTAGATACTCAACAAGTATTTGTGGAGTGAACTAATAAAAGCTGAATATAGTTTTTTCAATCCCAATTCAGTGTGATTCCTCCCCACCTTCCTGAACAATGAAATTAGACAGTCTAGGGAAAATCTTTCACTTTAAAGAAAAAATGAAAGGTACAAATACTTTTTAATAACTTGCTTTCTGACTACAAAATAATCCAAGTTCACTGTTAAAAATATGAAAAAAAATCACACAAAAACAAAAGAAAAATCACCTACAATGTTACCTCCCAAAGATAAGTACTGTTAACACTCTTATACATTATTCCAATTGTGTATGTAGGTAATTTTTAACAAAAATAAAATATTCTAACACAGTTACAGAATGTCCTGTTTTAAAAAAAAAACTTTAAGATTCATTTTTCTGCATCACTAACTCTTTTCCAGTGTAATTTTAATAGCTGCATGTGATTATATTTGATGGGTAAATCCTATGGAAAGAGCTGCCAGTCACCCAGATTACGCTCCTAAAAACAATTTCGCACTGAACCTCTTAAGACATTGAGGATGTGTTTCTCTAACAATGTCACAGGCCACTGGGCAGGAACAAACATCTGAAATTTTAATTGTTACCTTTGGATTTTAAAGAGTAGTGGTCACCTTCTCCCAGAGACAGGCACATTAGTGAAAGTACAGAAGGTTGAACTAATTTGCCACCTGTGGTTTGGCTGCAAAGCCCGACTCCCCTATTGTCACTGCCTACTTGGTATACTGTGCCAAATGTCCCACACCAAGGAGACGCAAAATGCACTAAAAAGGCAGCTAACAAATCCTGAACTTGTAGCCACAAGACTGGGAATTCTTTTATCGGAAGGAATACCTGAACAAAATGTATCTTTATCATTTAGAAGTATTTAAAAAAAATCAACTTCTCTGCTTTATTAAATAATCTGTGTTTGGCTCCTGATTATTTGACAAATAATCAAAATTTTACTTATTTTCAAGCATAGGACTTTTTGAAAATTATAAAACATCTTTATAAAACTTTAATAGTTGTGTATAAGAAATCTATAAAAGATATTCAGAATTAAATGTGTTATTATTTAGAGTACCTACACTGCATAAAGTCTATATAACATATATGCTTATTTCAGATCCCACAATGCATAAGAAATAGTACCATTTATGAGGATGTAAATTCCCTATGGGTTAGAGTTCATATTAACATCATGAAGAAATTCAACTTTCTTTTTAAGTGTTATGTATAGATTATTTGGCCACAACAATACATCAAGTCATAAAATTTAAAAGTTAAATAATACCCTTTGCAAAGTTTTAAGATGGATGGTCTTAAATTAAACTTCCTATTTGAACACATAATTATGAAGGCATCTATAATCCTGCACATGGTTTGCCAACTTAAGTATGCAATCACGTAAGTCTATATGTTTGTGCTTATCATGCACCTGACAAAGAGTGGGTGCACAATGAGCATCTGTTGACTAACTTAATTCTCTCCATATTTAGGCGAATAGGAAGAATCTCAGTGATGTGGCCAGGAGTACAATAAGCGAATGTCCAATGGCTAAAACAGCCGTGACAGAATCACTAATGCTGTGCATTTTACTCTAGCGGACCACGTCCTCTCTCAAAACCTAGTCACTCTTACTCTTCAGTGTGGTATAGTGGAAACGGCACACACTTAGGGATCAGGAGAATTGGGTTAGTACTAAGCTTTATAGTTAGCTAACCCTGTAGTACACAAAAGAACAGAGGCAGTGTATCAGAAGAGGTCAAGAGGATGGACATAAAAAAGAAAAAGAAAAGAGGAGGACTGGGAAAGAAAGCAACGATGCTAGCAGCAGAAGACAGAGAAGCTGCAAAGAACGGATACGAATGTTTCCTAAAGCACTGGAGTCTGTCTAAATGAAACTGAATAGGGAAAATAGCCCCCAATTTCTCTAGAACGCTTCTGCTCAAAGCAGTAATTATTTACAACTGTAATTCTAAGTTGTCAAGGTAAGAAAGATTGTAAAATATATCATTTATTAAGAAGGCAGAAATCTGTGTGATGCAGGTTAGACATATTTCTTCTGGGGATCTAAAGTCTCAAAATACAAAAATTGTTCAATGACATGGCAAATATAAATATGAAGAATTCATTATTGAGTACTTGCTAAATAAGGTGTCCTATAAAATGTATGTATCTGTGCATACACTGATCTACACATGCATTTGATTAAAAAAAAAGACATTCTATCCATATAAAAGAGAAAGCATAGTTCCTACAGAAGGCTCCCATTGAGTAATGTTATTATTCAGAAGGTTCCAGACATTGCAAAATGTTTAAAATATTGTGCTATATTATCTTGCTGTCTGCATTTAAAGTATTTTAAATTACTTATTTTTAGTAAGTGGGACACACTTTTTATAAATAAACGATTATGTGATATCGATTGCTATGCTAGAGCCAGTTTTCTCATTAATTAAGAGGAAAGAAAAAATATTAAATAAGTAGTAGTTAAACAAGGGAGAAAAAAGACCAAAAAGCTGTCTCGAGAAATAGTCTCCGAAATAATCGATAAAGCCACTAGGTGCTGCTATATGCCCAAAAATGAAGACAGCTAAAGGGATTTTTGTTAAGTACATATTCATCTGACTTCCCTCAAATTCAGTCCTCTCTGTGATTTAGCTATAATCCTCAAAAACCATGGAAGGGGAGTGATTAGTATAACTAAGAATTACAGTGATGTGGTAGTTTTTTCACAGGAGCTATTCAGACAGTGAAATTGAGTACACAAAAAAAGTGAACTAGCCTCCGGATATAAAATAAGACCAAGCCAGTTGCATGCACTGTGAGTGCTGTGGAAAGCTGGGCTGTTATCCTGAGCCTGTCCTTACTCTGCAAAGCACAAGACCACAACCACGCACTGCTGGCGCTGTACTGAACACAATCAACAAAATTTGGGTTCTGCACTGGTAGGATCTAAGCCATATGTTCCTACTCTCTTTCCCATTCAAACATTTACTGATTACTCACTTATTCAACAAATACGTAATAGGCACCTATGACATGCCAGCCACAAAGACTGCTACTTTCAAGAAGCTTATATCCTACTCGTATCCAGTATGTGTTAGGGAATAAAACGATGACCGAAGGAAATGTGCCCAACCCTTCATTGCTTGCAACTCATGTGCAGGGGACAGCAACATACACAAAAATGTAAATGCATAATGGTGAAATATTACAAGGTCTACAGGAGGAGGAAGAAGCAGCCTTCATTCTGTGTGGGGACAGGTGGAAGGAAGATAGGTAACTTCTAAGATACCCCTTAGGAAAACCAGGAGTTCTCTCCCAAGTGTAGAAGTGATGCAGGAACAGGAGGTTAGGAAAGTATGAAGGCAAGAACCCTGTGTGTTTGAGAAAGTGACTTTCTCAGTGTGGCTGAAGAATAAGATGCATGGGAGTGTAGTGGGAGAATCTGAATTCTCCTTGAAGAAGTTGGAAACTGGGCTGGAGGCAATGGGGAGCCAGCCAAGGTTTTCAGTCCCAGAGGGGTGTAGCCACGTAATTCTGTGAGTGGACTGCAGGGTGACACTGGTTGGGATGACTGGAGGCAGGAGGCTAATCAGAAGATTAAGGAAATAAGCCAGCTGAGATGTGGGATCCCAACTGAATCAAAAATGATCACTGCCAGGCTTCAGTAACTGCCTGGAAAGATGTCAGGGCTGAGGGAAAGGGGTCAGAAACACAATGCCTGTGTTTCCACGGTAAGTTAACGCCTGTCACTGGAAGAGGAAATCTGAGAGATGGAAGGAGGTTTGGACGGAGGCAGGGGTGTCTTTTATGAGAAGAGATGGTTTTGGGGTAGAGAATTCCACCTGAGAGTTAAAGAAGAAGCTGGTTACTGACGCCCTGGACTCAGCTACCTAACATCAGCAGTGCACTACATCTGCGAAGTCCTGGGCTGCCATGGGGGGCATAACCGAACAGCACCACAGAATCAAGTGCTCCACAGGCAGAATACATGTTGAGTCATCCAGCTAAACAGAAGAATATGTCCTTGGTTTTATTCAGGGTTTTGGTGCTGCTGGAGTATTGATTTTACTCCATGAGTCAAGTTCTCCCAACATTATAATCTGTGGGGCTGAGCACTAGTATGGAAGTCCAGAACAGACTCCAGGCCAGTTGTAAAAATAACTGCAGTAGCAATTGCGATGAACTCAGATCACCTTTCTGCCTCAGTTTCCTTATTTGATAAAGTAGGTAATGATGCCAGTCTGCCTACTTGCCTTCTTCACAGGAAACTGTGAGAATAAAACACAACAGTGTACATCAGTGTGCTCTCCAACCACAACCTAATCGACAATAACAACACCTCTCTTGGGAAGGATGCCTCCTTTATCTTCCTGTTCTCCACCCTTCTCTTTCGAGCCCAGCTCTTTCTGCCCACCTTCCACACTACCTTTGCCTTCATCTCTGAGAGACCACGGAGCATAGCCAAGTTCATCAATGTGCAGCCTACAGACTCATGGAGGATGTGTGACTGTCAATCAAGGGTAAAAGGACCGAATTCTCTGGGCTTGAGCCCCACTGCGGACAGACGAAAGGACCTGAGCTCT